TCGGCAAATTTGGCTTGTCTTGCGGAAGTTCCGGTGATTTTCCTGAGCAGTTTTCGAAAAGCGCCAGCCGCTCACCTCGCTTGCTTCCTTTCTCGTTTGATGGTATCGTACATGTTCGCAGGTTCGGCCTGTTGTTCCGTGTCTTCTTGATTCTGCTCTTTCTGAATCTCGGTAGACTTGAATCGCAAAATTCAAAAAAGGATTGATCACAACCTCGTTATTCGCCTCAATCTCATCTGCATTACGTTTGCGTGAACTCCTTTTTGGACTTGGAGATCGAATATCCACGTTCTCATCGTTGAAGCGTTCTTTGGCAAATCTAAAAAGCAGTAACGAGAAACTTCACGTGCCTTTGAAAAAAGAATCTATTTACCTTCGGCGCCTTCTCCGCTTTTCATATTCTTCATCATCGGATGTGTTACTCTCTTCGTAATGAGCGCCTCCGCCAATTCTTCTGCCAGAGCGCGTATAACCAGCAACTGGGGCATTTATCAATTCCTTGAAGAATAAACATTGAGAAAAAGACAAGAAACATTGCAAGACAGATGCTTTATATCAAACAAAAGCATAGAACAAACGAACAACACAATTTTTAAAGGATAGACACGAATTTGTGCACGCGATTTGATTGCCTAATCTCATTATTCAATTAATAAAGACATAATAGCTTACCTTATGAAGTTGTTCTGTTGCCGATCGGATAATGCTCTTCATAAAGCTTCCCCGTAAATGATGTTCAGCGAGATCATTTTCCGCCAAGCTTCGATAGACCATGGAACGTTCACGACTCGAGCGGCGCACATCTTTTTGAGGGGAGAGACCGCTACCTCGTTTAACCATCCCCTAGCAATTAGAGAACTTTGTTTAACATAGGAGAAAGGATACGAAAAGACAACCGAGAATCTGAGCACAGTAAAAGATAAGAAAAGTCAACCGAAGAATCTTGATAGTAAAATCGAGAAAAGTGTACGAATAATCAACTCAGAAACCTTACAGCAAGATAATAACCGAATGAAACCAT